ATGGCTTAGACTTTGATACTAATTATTTAATTTAATACAAATAAATATAATAAATGCATCAAATTTAGAAACTTAATATTTATGGAAATATAGTCGAGCTCCATAAATAGTAATTAAAAATTTGGGCGTTACACTTTTCATCCCAATATTACCAATTAGCCCCAATTCTTCTATTTTTTTGACCAAATTTACCTTTGTGTGCAAGAAATTTACAGCATCAACCATTAACCGACGAAAGAATCCACATCGTTCCCACCCATCAAGATTGAGCTCTTTCACACCGTTTTTTAAAAGAGAATTGAGTATGGAGGATGACGGCGGCGACGACGGCAGGGGAGGGGGTGAGGTGGAGGCGACGCGGGCAGCGGCTGAAAGCGCTTGCTCTTACTGCTGGTTCTGAACAGTTTGTTCAAGATCAAGCTCGGAGGCGGTGGAGGCAGCAATGGCGGAAGAGAAGGGGCGATGGTGGTGACGGATGATATCCTCAGCTTTTCGAATCATCAATCTTGTTGTTTGGGTCTTTCAGATAATTTTTTACTCAATTTGGACTCATCTTTTTTTTTGTGTATTGCAGATGATGTTTTATTTAACAGATTGATGAACTAGGAAAAAAAATCTAATCATTATTCTTTTGCTTTATTATTATTATTTGTTTATCTTGCAGATTATTATTTTTATTCAATTTGGTTATGTACACAAATGAACTGGGAAGAAAAAATCCAATTTCAAATGTGGAAACAAGGGTAAAAGAGACTTAATACATTTTATCCCTAACTTATCATGGATAGCAAATGGTGTCTCGAGTTTACTATTATCTATTAGAAATATCAATCACATATAACAAATACGAGTTTAAACTTTTCTACACGGTACAATCCACTCACCTTAGATTATTAGTGCAATTTCATCATTCCAAACAAAAGAGGCCTATATGTTTCATCTCCTATTAGACCATATTTATCTCTTGGGTCATGGAGATAACGACAAATGAAAATAAGAAGAAAAAGAAGAAGTAGGGTTCGGGGGCTGCTGTGACATACTTACAGCAGCCCCAGCTGTTAATTATTAGCCCTTGGATTCCTAAACTATTAAACATAGATCAATGGTTATAAATAAATGACAAATAAATTGTCACAAGCTTTATTTTCAGCTAGCACTTCTTATTCAACACAGTTTTCTATCTCAAAGCTTTCTACACCCAATAGTACTTATGACCGTCTCTGTCTTTTTCTTCTTTTTTCTTTTGGTGAGTGTGAGTTCCAATTCAAGTATTTTTATTTTATTTTTTTCAGTTAGCCACTCCAAATTATATAATAAACTTACCCCTGCAAGAGGAAAAAAACAAAAAAAAAGGAGCAATAACACCAAATTATACAACCACTAAATTACCCTTCATCTTTGCTTTCCCCTTGCTTTCACACACCTGTGTACACGCATAAAAATCTCAGTCCATGGCATGTTGCTTCGGATACTGAGACTAAAACTTCAGCCCGTTAAAACCCACTTCGTGAGGAGGAGCTCGGCTTGAGCCTGGAGGCGTCGGGCCGACCTTTCGTGTGGATCGTGAGGAGGAGCCTGCCGGACGAGGATCTCGAGCTCGTGTCGTGGCCTCGTGATCCACGGGTGGGCCCTGCGCATGTGATGATACTCTTGTAGGTCCAGCCACGTGAAGGTGCAAAATAACAACAAAAGAAAAGGAATCTAATGAGCTGCCCATATGGAAGGAAAGAGCTGAGAAGGAGCCTTCATTTGTTCACATTCAGTCTTTTCCTCCTATAAATAGAGAGGTATTCTTCTGAAGAAGAGGCACCAAGCGAGAGAGAAAAAGAAACTGAAAGAAAAAAGAGAGAAGAAATAACATCTTGTGAGTGTTATTTTTCAGTGAGATAAAAATAGAGTGTTTGAGTAAATCCTGTGAGTGTGGAAAAATACACCGGGTTGGGTATAAACTCTATTACTCTTTGTTTGAGAGTGGGGTTCTCACTGGGTCACTATATTTTACATTTCTAGTGTAAGGGAGTGTGAAAAGATAATGTAATTATCTTGAAAATATAGTGGAATTGTTCGGAGGTTGTCCCGTGGTTTTTTCCTCTATTTGGAGGGTATTCCACGTTAAATCTTGGTGTCTTATTTCTTGCATATTTTATTTATTTGAGATATTCTTAGTATGCTTTGTGGTCGCAGTTTAATCTGAACTTGCACATCAGAAAAGAATTATTTCGGTTTTATTGCAAGAGATTTTCTTTTGTCATTCATGAGTTGCTGGGATTGGGATTATTGTTTACCATTTTACCTTGATATTTTAATTTACATCTTCCGCATTTGCGCATCTGAGCCCAACAAGTGGTATCAGAGATCATGTTGGGCTCTGTATCGACCCGTATAAATTAAATGGAGGAGAACGTGGGTACCATGGTGAAGCTCACAACAACAAATTACTCCATTTGGAAGTCAAAAATGGAGGACATACTTTTCTATAAAGATCTGTATGATCCTGTAGAAAAGGGAGACAACAAGCCAGATGATGTAAAGGATGACGATTGTAAAAATTTACATAGAAAGGCTGCCAGTTTAATCCGACAGCGGGTGGATATCAGCATATTCCACCATGTTGCCACAGAGTCGAAAGCCCATACTCTGTGGAACAAAATTGAACAAATGTACCAGAGGAAGACTGCACAGAATAAAGCTTTCGTCATTAAAAAGCTTGTAAATTTAAAATATCGGGATGGAAGATCAGTTGCAGAACACTTGAATGAGTTTCAAGACATGGTGAACCAACTTGTTACCATGGAGATGAAACTTGATGAAGAGCTGCAGGCACTGTTACTTTTGATTTCTTTACCAGATAGCTGGGAGACTCTGGTGGTCTCGTTGAGCAACTCTGCCCCTGAGGGAAAACTGACTTTGACCCAAGTCAAAGACAGTATGTTTAATGAAGAAACAAGGAGAAAAGACTCTGGGGCAAGCAGTTCCCAAGCCCTGGTCACAGAAACCAAGGGGAGAAGTAAAAGCAGAGGCCGGAATAACAAATCCAGAGATAAATCACAATCTCAACCCAGGAGAAAGTTCAAGTATTATCACTGCGGTGAAGAAGGGCATATCAAAAGAAACTGCAAATCCTGGAAGAACAGAGGTTGGAGGAACAACAAATCAGAGAACGGTGAAAATACCGCAACCCCTGTGATCAATGGGGAAGTGGTGTTGCTCTCTGTTGAAGAAGAAGAGTGTCATGTTGCTGATTCATGTGTTGAATGGGTCATTGACTCAGCTGCATCCTACCATGCAACCTCTCACAAAGAATTCTTTTCTCTATACAAAGAAGGAGACTTTGGTAGAGTAAAGATGGGCAACAACAGTATTGCAAATATTGTGGGAGTTAGTGATGTGTGCATTCAAACTGATATTGGGTGCACAATAACACTGAAGGATGTGCGACATATACCAGACTTACGTCTAAATCTGATCTCTGTGCACGCACTGGATCTAGCAGGCTATACTAACAATTTTGGTAGCGGCACGTGGAAGCTTACCAAAGGATCATTGTTAGCTGCTAAAGGTACAGTGAGATCGACACTGTACAGAACTCAAGTGAAGCTGATCAAGGGTGGATTAAATGCAGTCGAAGATGATGCTTCGCTAAATTTGTGGCACAAAAGACTGGCTCACATTGGTGAAAAAGGATTACAGATTTTGGCAAGAAAGTCCCTCATCCCATTTGCCAAAGATTCAAAACTAAATTCTTGTGATTATTGTCTCTTTGGGAAGCATCATAGAGTGTCTTTCAGCAAAACCTCGAAGCTGAAAGAAAATGTGTTGGAGATGGTGTATTCTGATGTATGTGGACCCATGGAAGTGGAGAGTCTCGGTGGTAGCAGATATTTCGTGACGTTTATTGATGATGCTTCACGAAAATTGTGGGTGTATTTCTTGAGAACGAAGGGTGAAGTTTTTCAATACTTCAAAAGGTTTCATGTTATGGTGGAGAGACAGGCTGGTAAACCTTTGAGGTGTCTTCGCTCAGATAATGGGGGGAGTATACTTCCCATGAATTCAAGAATTATTGTGCCGAACATGGCATCAGGCATGAGAAGACTGTACCTGGAACCCCACAGCATAATGGTGTGGCTGAAAGAATCAACAGAACCATTATAGAGAAAGTGAGGTGTATGTTAAGAATAGCTAAACTACCTAAGACATTCTGGGGTGAAGCTGTTCTAACGGCGTGCTACCTGATCAACCGATCTCCATCTGTTCTTTTGGGCTTTGATATCCCTGAGAGAGTATGGTCCGGACATGATGTTAAATACTATCATTTAAAGGTGTTTGGATGCAAAGTTTTTGCTCACGTAAGCAAGGAACAGAGACGAAAACTTGACGATAAAGCCATTCCTTGTATATTTCTGGGCTATGGAGATGAGGAATTTGGCTACAGGTTATGGGATCCAGAAAATCAAAAAATTATCAAAAGCAGAGATGTAGTGTTCCATGAGCAAGAAACTATGTCTGATTCTGCTTTACCAGAAACAAGAGAACTAAGTGAAAAGGTGGATCTTTCACCTGTCAAACCTCCTGGAGATGCCACAGCAGGGGGAGAGTGTGATGGAGAACTCAGGGTTGATGATGAGCCAGCAATAGAAGATGGTGATGGTGAAGGTGTCGAGCAAGAAGACATCGGAGCTCCACCTCAGCTCAGGAGATCAAACCGAGCAATCCAACCATCTACGAGATACCCTAGTTCCACGTATATTACCATCATTGAAGAAGGGGAGCCAGAAAGCTTTGAAGAAGTACAGACTCATAAAGATAAATCTCAGTGGATGAAAGCCATGCAAGAAGAGATGGATTCACTGGTGAAAAACGAAACTTATGAGCTTGTAAAGCTTCCGGAAGGTAAAAAAGCCTTGAAGAACAAATGGGTGTTCAAGCTTAAGAAAGATGGTGACAAGCTGTTGAAGTACAAAGCTCGCTTAGTCGTGAAAGGATTTGGACAAAAGCGAGGAATAGATTTTGATGAGATATTCTCTCCGGTTGTAAAGATGAGCTCTATTCGAGTAGTACTCGGATTGGTGGCTAGCTTGGATCTGGAGCTTGAACAACTAGATGTGAAGACTGCATTTCTTCATGGAGACCTAGATGAAGAAATCTACATGGAGCAACCAGAAGGATTTGAGAAGACTGGAAAGGAGCACATGGTCTGCAGATTGAAGAAGAGCTTGTATGGACTGAAACAAGCTCTAAGACAATGGTACAAGAAATTTGACTCGTTCATGGCGAGTCATGGATATACCAAGACTGGTGCAGATCATTGTGTGTTTGTTAAGAAATTTTCAGGTGATAAGATCATTATCCTTTTGTTATATGTAGATGATATATTGATGGTGGGACATGATATGAAGTTGATTGGTGATCTGAAGAAGGATTTAGCAAAGTCCTTTGAAATGAAGGATCTGGGCCCTGCGAAACAAATTTTGGGCATGCAGATCAAGCGAGACCGAAAATTCAAGAAGTTATGGTTATCGCAAGAACGGTATGTGAATCGGATTCTGGAGAGATTCAACATGAAATCGGCTAAACCGGTCAATACACCGTTAGCCAATCACTTAAAGCTCAGCAAACAAAGTTGTCCTACAAGTCAAGAAGAAAAAGAAGTTATGGCGGGTGTTCCATACTCCTCGGCAGTCGGGAGTTTGATGTATGCCATGGTGTGTACTAGACCTGATATCGCTCACGCGGTTGGAATTGTTAGCAGGTATCTTTCCAATCCTGGAAAGGATCATTGGGAAGCTGTAAAGTGGATCTTGAGGTACCTAAAAGGCAGTGCAAATAAGTCCTTGAGCTTCGACAAAGGAAACACAGTTCTTGAAGGTTATACAGATGCAGATATGGCAGGTGACCTGGATAGTAGAAAATCTACTTCAAGGTTTGTGTTTACATTTGCAGGAGGAGCTGTATCTTGGCAATCTAAATTGCAGAAATCTGTTGTTTTGTCAACTATTGAAGCAGAGTATATTGCTATGACAGAAGCAGGCAAAGAAATACTTTGGTTGAAGAGGTTTCTTCAACAATTGGGAATGAAGGAGGAAAGGTACGATATCCATTGTGACAGTCAGAGCGCATTGGATTGAGTAAGAATGTGATGTACCACTCTCGCATGAAGCACATTGATGTCAGATATCATTGGCTACGTCAAGTAGTGGAAGAACAACAGTTCAAGTTGAAAAAGATTCACACTGACGAAAATCCTGCTGACATGATGACGAAAGTTGTAACAGGGGAAAAGCTTCAGCTCTGTGTCGAGTTGATCGACATGGAATGCATGTGAGATTTGCAGAATATTTCCCTTTGGCTGGAGGGGGAGAATTGTAGGTCCAGCCACGTGAAGGTGCAAAATAACAACAAAAGAAAAGGAATCTAATGAGCTGCCCATATGGAAGGAAAGAGCTGAGAAGGAGCTTTCATTTGTTCACATTCAGTCTTTTCCTCCTATAAATAGGGAGGTATTCTTCTGAAGAAGAGGCACCAAGCGAGAGAGAAAAAGAAACTGAAAGAAAAAAGAGAGAATAAATAACATCTTGTGAGTGTTATTTTTCAGTGAGATAAAAATAGAGTGTTTGAGTAAATCCTGTGAGTGTGGAAAAATACACCGGGTTGGGTATCAACTCTATTACTCTTTGTTTGAGAGTGGGGTTCTCACTGGGTCACTATATTTTACATTTCTAGTGTAAGGGAGTGTGAAAAGATATTGTAATTATCTTGAAAATATAGTGGAATTGTTCGGAGGTTGTCCCGTGGTTTTTTCCTCTATTTGGAGGGTATTCCACGTTAAATCTTGGTGTCTTATTTCTTGCATATTTTATTTATTTGAGATATTCTTAGTATGCTCTGTGGTCGCAGTTTAATCTGAACTTCCACATCAGAAAAGAATTATTCCGGTTTTATTGCAAGAGATTTTCTTTTGTCATTCTTGAATTGCTGGGATTGGGATTATTGTTTACCATTTTACCTTGATATTTTAATTTACATCTTCCGCATTTGCGCATCTGAGCCCAACAACTCTCCCACCCAAGCGCCGGGGGGTTCATGACGAACTACTGGTGGAATTAGACGCTCGAGGGGACGGCGTCGGGGGTGCCAATGCTGACATGGCCAGTATTCGCAGACGGGTTGTGCAACGAGAAGTTCAATGTGTTCATAGGAGAAAAGGGCGGAGGAGGAGTTCAGGTGAAGTCGGGAGTCGTTAAGGCGGCGAAAGCTGAATGGAACTATCCCCCAGTCATTGACCAACGTCACTTTGCTCGTATACATTGACTTGTCGAACAACGAGCTGTCCGGGATGATACCCAAGATGGCCCCGTTCGACACCTTCCCGGACTATCGATTCGCAAACAACTCGGGCCTATGTGGGTACCCCTTGTACTTCATGCATGTCGAGGTTGGGCTCTAGCGGGCCTGCCCGGCATTCGGCAATCTCTGCTTATTAGGGTGGCCTCTAACAGGTCGGGAGAGTACTCAAAATCTTGCGAGGCGCTTAGGAACTTACCGAAATATTAGGATAAATGCCTGAGCTATTAGAATTGGAACGAACTCCAACTACACTTACCCAGGGGGTTAGATATTCCTAGACTCAGAAGATAGAGCAAAAGAGTAAGCACTTGACTAGATCTGCTCCTGACTGAGATATATATGCTCTTGATTCTTGCCATTCTTTCTTAGTTATAAGGCTCATTTACTCGTTCATAGAGTAAGCTACCCTTTCCTAAAGTCTCGGCTCTCTAAAGCTGGTAAATACGGGATAGGATCCACTCTGACAGCTGACACCATCGACCGACATCCCCTGCAGGAAGTGTAACAATGGGCCTTCTCTTTTCGCTCTTATGCATATTTGGGTTGATCCTTGTTTCAGTTGAGGCCCGTAAGAGGTGGCGGATGAAGAAAGAGGAAGTCCTCAAGGCCTACATGGAGGCCCACTCGGGCCCTAGTGGCTGGAAAGTAATACCCGTGAAGCCCTTAGCATAAACCTCGCCGCATTCGAGAAGCCTCTCCGGAAACTCACGTTCGCCGACCTTCTAGAAGCTACACACGACTTCAACAACGAAAGCCTTATCGATTCGACGGTTTTGGCGACGTGTACAAAGCCGAGCTCAAAGACAGGAGTGTGGTTGCGGTTAAGAAATCGATCCACGTCAGCGGGCAGGGGGATCGCGAGTTCACGGTCGAGATGGAGACGATCGGGAAAATCAAGCATTTGAGTTTAGTTCTTCTTCTCTGGTACTGTAAAGTCGGTGAAGAACGACTCTCGCGTACGAGTACATGAAGTACGGGAGCTTGAAAGATGTTTTGCACGACCGACAGAAAATCAGACTGAAACTAAACTGGCCAGCGAGGTAGAAAATCGCGATCGGGTACCGCTCGGGGAGTGGTTTTCCTACACCACAACTGTATCCCGTATTACAAAGATGCTAAAAATAAAGGCTGATGTTTTCTCTAATGGGTTTCCGTCGGCGACAAATCAATTTTTTTCCGATAGGTTTACAAGAAAGCTCTGAGTTAAACATATTGAATGCCTGAGTTATGGGTATTGATCTTTCTGCATGAGTCAGAAATTTATCAAATGTACATTTTTTAGAAGATCCATCATGATTTCCAATCTTAGTGAGGCTAACAATGGAAGATGATTTGGTGGTTGGTTTTGTTAGATTTTTGTTTTTGTTTGAGCTCGTTTATATTTGGAAAGCATGTTCGCTCGCAAATACTTGGGTGTGCCTTGGCACACCTAGCAGGGTGTGCCTAAACATGTTACTTTATAAAATGAACATGTGTCAACATGTTACCTTATAAAATTAACATGTGTAAACATGTTTACACATGTTCAATTTATAAAGCAACATGTTCATTTTAAACTGTCTTGGCACACGGTAGTAGCACTGATGTTCGCTACCTATAGTATGAATCGCCTGGTAACTAGATATGATAGTGACGATTTATTTGTCATTTATTTATAACCATTGATCTATGTTTAATAGTTTAGGAATCCAAGGGTTAATAATTAACAGCCCACATTTGATATGTTTTAAAACATAATTACAATTCATAAATAAATAAATATTTTAAGTTGACTTAAGATGAGAATAAAGATAATTTGAATTACAATGTTGGGTTGTATGGGTGAAAGAGAGAGAAATGATTTTTAATTATTAAGTTAGATTGAGTTAGGTTAGGTCGGGTCGTCGATAAAGATGGTCTTATATCGGCATAATTTAAAAATCCACCAGAAAGTATTCACAAAGTGATCCACCCTCCAAAAAACACTCAAAATGGCCAATTACTTATTAATCATACACCACGGTCACTACAGTACCCAGTAAAACGAAAAAATTGGTGAGAAAATTTTGAAAAGAAAGAAAAACTACGCAACTTAATTATTTCGACAATACATGAAAGAGGCCGAAAATAAAATAAAAAGGAACTTATTTATTCACTCTCTTTCAGCATACGACTTACTCCGAGTCCGACTTTTGCTGTTTGCCAACATCTTTCAGCTTCTCTTTCAACTCACCTGTCTGCACAGCAACCACATGTTTCAGAGGTTATTACAAATGAAGGCGAAACGAACGTCTTCACCATTTATTGTTAAGTATAAAAGCTTGTTTTGGCATGACAAAAGGAAATAATGGCGAAACCTGATGCATGCTAAGAATGATATCAGATCCTCCCACAAACTCCCCTTTGATAAATATTTGAGGGAATGTTGGCCAAAGGCTGCAAAAATATTGACAATGCGTTATTAACGGGGCAAAATAGTTCCCATCTTACATTTTAATTTCCAGATAAAGTTGTTTACTAGAGCAAACTCGCGTAATTCTTTCATGGGTGCATCGGGTCTAAATTTTGATATCCAACTCAAGCTGAAAAAAAATTCTCTCATTCTTCCAAAAAAAAATTTAAGAATTTTGTGCTAAATTGAGAGGTATTTATGCGACTGAATCAATCAATCTGTGCCATTTCCTATCAAATGCAAGTCGGTAAATGAGAAATACCCGGCACAAACCAGAGGTTGAGTACTGGAAAGATAAAACACGTAATTTGTAACCCCTTAAATCTGTTTACAAACAGTATGTGCAAGTCCAGTAGAAGTAGGCTCCTAATAGTTTCTCTTTTATACATTCTCTCTCTTGCCCACGAATGTTCATATTATCACATACATTTTTGCGACTACTCATCATTTATTGTAGGACGAAAAAAAAAAAGAGAAAGAAAAGGTTGCTAAATGGATGACTTACCTGTAGGATTTAACAGCATTCTTTAGCTCAAGGTTTGTTAGTATATTTCTCGCACTTATAGGAACATCTGAAAGAACAAATGAACTGTTAAAATCATGTAAGTAAAATATTAGCAGGAATTGCACGCTAATGAATAACAAGCATAATCTACAATATCTTGACCACGTCATGTAAGAAACCATGTCGAGTACCAGGTCAAAATTAGATCCAGTCCAAAAACACATCAAATCAATCTCCATCTTTTACTTATGCCATGTCAACTTATCTCTAGTCCCAAACATACTCAGCAGCTTCACAATTTTGTAAACATGATATTGTGTAACAATAATAAAAAGAAATGGGTAACGTAATATGATTGAGAAGTGTTCAGCAAACCTAACTATATTCTTGCAAGACCCTCACTGCTAGTGCACTAAAACCACATTGAGGATGTTCTGGCACCCCTTTCATGTATATCATCACAGGGTTTTCTTTCACATCCTGCAAGTACAATTAAATTCAGTGACACACATCAGACTGATATATTCACAATGAATAAGACTTGAGCAAAACGTGATAAAAAGTACAATCTTGTGCGATTAAATATAAAATTTCAGAGCTATGCCGAAATTGTGTCAAACCGGCGTGTTGCTGAACTGTTTCTGACGAGCGATTTTACCTTCTCAACAATTTCATTCAAGGAGGAGGCAGATTCTTGAACTTTATTGGAGGGTCTAAAATCTTCATGTGTATCGGGGTCATCAGGCACAGTTGTCGAGAAACGAAGCATGCCCCGGTAGAAAGATCCAGATGCCTGTGCACATAATCCCACATCGAATGAATAACACAGACACATTCTAGAATTATGTGCATAATATCATATAAGAGGACTATGTATTGATAGTTGCTTGTCTCTCTACCATAAAACGCGCACGCACACACACTAGAATATACTATTGATTGATAATTTATTGTACAACACATTTATGTCAGTTGCTTATCACAAGTAGAAGATGTATCTATTTACAGATGACCAGGATGTGGCCATGTGAAAAGGCCAGTAACCACAAGATAAGGCAATATTAATATTCCTTGATTTGTTAATCAGATGAATTCATCGATGGTTCGCAAATTAATAGTCCCATCATGAGATGGCAGCTCAGAAGTGAAACAGACGATAGAAGGTAGCCAAAAAAATATTATCTCTCACCAACACAGTAGCTCTTATTCTTGCACCATTAACTGATACTTCAACAATTTATTTCCACAATTTTTTTAATCTACAATCAATTTTAAAAACCCAAAGCAGAACTTATGTTTGTTATATTGCTCTGGTTGTTGCACTAGGCTCAGGGGTCAGGATAGCCATAAATATTTGGTAAGCGGATATGGCATAAGAAATAACATATATCGTCGAATGACAGATCTAACACAAATCTTGATTATATTAACTTTTTCTAATAACACAAATAAGCATACATTTATGTGTGTATACCTGTGAATATAGTTTGGCAATTGTTTCCATAAGCTAAGGAAACTGCATAACGTTAAGACAATATCGACTCCCACTAACAGATGGAAAGAGTGTGCATATGTTCTAGACATTTGCACAAACCTACAACGTAACGAGCACAAAGAAGAAATAAACTTACAGTCGAATTAGCAGCTGGAAAGGCAGCAATCCTTTTAACAAGAATGCTAGACAAAGACCTTGCCATTATTTTTGTTGCTTTAGTCAGGTATGTCTCTGAAAGCTGCACTGTAACAAATTAATTGAAAGATTTTAATGTAGTATATATTATAAAATTTGAAACATAACACTTCAACATAGAATCATTAAAACACAAAATCTTAATCAATTATTGATAAAAATTCATCTAGAAAATCATTATCCATTATCGATAACACTTAATCTCGGAGTAAAGACTCTGATTGGGACAAGTATAACTGCCAAGGCGTTCATAATCTTTTTACTATAGCCTCAAAAATCAGCATAACAGATAGGAACTCGAACCCTAATTCATTGTCAATGTAAATGCGTAATAAGTTTCATAGATCTCTTAAAGAAGATAATAGATTTTAGCAAATTCACAGTGTAATGTTCATACCTCGACTTCAGATTCCGCCAAGATCTATGAGCGAGTGAGAAAGAACCAAGAATGACCACGATCAAACTTTTAAGAAGATATTGATTATTCTGCCAAGCCGGGGGCTTGTTATTATTTTTTTTGTAAAACTTTATCTTAAATATAAATATCTATATTTAATATTTTATTATTGTGAGAATATACTATTAACTAATACAACGTAGGCTCGTGTATTACACGGGTGCTTGCTAATTATTTTTTTTAAATCTAAAATTAATGAAAAAAAAAATAGTTTAAAATTTGAATACCTTTTATTAAAATATATATATATTATTATATATTTAGTATGACACTTTTTATTTGTGTGACTTACTTGTGTTATATTATAATAATATTTTTTAATTTACAAAATATAACTATATTAAACATAAATATATTACCTGAGAACTAATTTTTATTTTTCTAATAAATATTAATAAATATTGTTATTTTTTATTATTATAAAGATAAATATAATTTATTTATTTTTTATATACAATATAGATATCAAATCGAAGATCATGAAAAGACGATTAATTTGATATATTATACATGTAAAACCGATAAGAAATACAAAAGTTATCAACTTTTAAAATACATTCATAATTCAATAGCTAATTGAAGGAAACAAATCAAAAGTCAGAGATATATTAGTCTCACTATGTAAAATTACAAAGAATTAAAGGGTTATATTAGTACAAGTGATATTAAAATATATAAGTTAGCTAAATAATATTTATGGAATGTCCGAACCTAAATTATTAATGATTAATATATCAATATTATTTGTCCAAACCTAATTACGAAGCATGATTCTTCGCCAAATAGGATTTCGAAGCATCAGAAGCAGCCATAGGCTCAACGCATTCGAGAATTATATATAGAACGGATTTGAAAAGAAGTGTCCAACCAAATCAATAACATTTAATATGTGGTAAAATTAAATATATGAATCGTCATGTTATTTAATAAAATATATATTTAATAAATCTGTGTGGAAAAGCTTAACTAAAACATTAAAATATCAGAATGAATAAATTATGTATCGTGTTTAACAGATTGATGTTATAGTTACTATATATTGAAAACACGCATGATTTTACAAAATTGAATTGGTTCTAATTAAAAATAAATATGTGTGGATCGTGCGTATCCCGTGCGATGTACGGATAAACAATATGATTTTATAGCATGTAAAATTGTATTACACGTGCATGATAAATCTACATCTTAAATTCATATTTTGTGTTTTCTAATAGAACTAGTACAACACCAGTGTATTACACGGGTGCTTGTAAAAAAATTATTCTTAAATTTTAAAATTAATGAGAAAACTATATTAAATTTAGTTTACTTTCTTACAAAAAAATATATTACTATATATTTTAGAATGATATGTGTTACTTATGACGTACATGTGTTATATTATATTAGTTTTTATAACTTATATCACATAACTACTTGAAATATAAATATATTAGTTGATAAATAATTTTATTTTTCGAATTAGTATAATTTTATTATTGTTATAAAGATAAATATAAATTATTTTTTTATACATACAATATGGATGTTAAATCGAAGCTCATCAAAAGAAGATTAATTTGATATATTACATATGTAAAACTGATAAAAAAATACAAAAGTTATTAACTTTCAAAATATATAGGGGGCAGATCAAATGAGGTCAGCTTTTAAAATGAGGCCAACTCTTAAAATGCGGACAACTAACCTAGCACAATCAAACAACTAACCTAGCACAATCAGACTACTAACCTAGCAGCATCAGACAACTAACCTAGCAACTGCAGAGACTATGC